GAGCCATAATTTAGTGCGGACTACTCGTCTACGTCAGCAAAATTTATAAACTCAAGCTGCCGTCCGGTGATCAGACGAGAAAAGGCAAGCTGTAGGCGTGTACTTGCGAATCGGCTTAGAAAATACGCCCTGCCTGGGGAGGCAGGACGATAGAGTTCCCCAAACCGAAATCAGATGGATGATTTTGGTTTCAAGTTCCAATCCGGAATAGGCCCTTTATTTGCGTTAGGTGCGGCTGCCTAGGAACCCTTGCTCTCGATGGTAAATGAATTTTAGAGTGCGAAAGATACAATAGCCCCATGAGCGATTTGGACCTAGGCGAGCGATAGGAATTGGTGGGGGTGGATATATGACCGGGAAAGATAAAAAAGCCGGAAAGGCAAACGTGGGAGTGCACTGGATGGCCGGAGTAGGCTTATAATTGGAATGTCCGTGAGCAAGCCCCTTGGACGAGCCAGGAAACCCTTACCTGAGGATGATTGAGAGGCCTTTGCATTAAGGCCCGATGAGCTGAATTGCGATGCGTAGGATGTACGGGAGAGCGTGTTGCACTCTGCTCCCACGCGGACTGTCAGTTTGACAGATAGAAAACATATCACATTTAATTGATAAGTAGCAGTTTATGTATGATAAGAACTGCATGTATAAGCTCAATAGCCCGAATTACACCTCTTTTTAAATTGCTTTGTCGTGTAATAAATTTTATGAAACTGCCGACACGGATTCTGACAATAAAAATCCTGCACAACACATTTGCTGCAATCTCATCCACACTAGACACCAGCTATCGAGGCCAAGCACGCGGCTCACGTCGCATTCATCGCCTTACAAAAGGTCTTCGGCATTGTGCCACAGCACGAACTGTTGCACAAACTAGAACGAATAGGAAGCAGAGGGCAGTTCTTCAAACGGATCCACAAGTTACTTCTGCGTCGGAACCAGGTTGTTTGTATCGTCCAAGGGAAGCTGTGTTAAGCTCTAGAGACAACTCGATTCCTAATATATGTGGACGATTGCGCCTGAGATTTGGACTACAACGCAGCTACCTTTGCCGAGGACATGAATACCCGGAGGGTAATTCTGGGATCTGCCCACCAGGATAGACTACCGATTAATTTAAATAGATTGTAAGAGCGGTCGAACCGTTGGTTTCCGCAGTTCACAATCGATAAGTGTACAATACTCAACCAAGGCGATCCAGCAGATCCAACAAAAGTAGAAGCTACTATCTCAACGGTGTATTTCTGCAAGACGCGGAAATCCAAAATGACATCGGTGTACTGAT